GTGTGCGAGACGTTGTGTGTGGGATGTTGTGTGAGTGATGTTGTGTGTGTGAGATGTTGTTGTGAGAGATGTTGTGTGAGAGATGTTGTGTGTGGGATGTTGTGTGAGAGATGTTGTGTGAGAGATGTTGTTGTGAGTGATGTTGTGTGAGAGATGATTTGTGTGAGAGAAGAGGAGGAAGGAGGAAGGAGGCGGAGGAGGAAGGACGAAGGCGGAGGAGCGAGGAGGTGCAGCAAAAAAAACAAGAACCCCACACATCAATGTTGGGAGAAACAACCAAAAGCTCAAATCTTTGGGCTCCAAACGCGAACCCCCCATCGCCACAGCGGGGATCCACATGGCGCATGGCACGAACTCTCGGGGCCTCCTGCATCTTCTGGTGAACTCTCTCTGCCAACAGTCGACTCCTCGAGCTCAAGGACCGTCGGGAAGGAGCCTGAGACCACCAACCCTCCGAACGGACACGCTCGCCAGACCGGACAGGCCTCGTTTTTGCATCCGAAAGGGACCCTTCGTCTCTTGACCTCTTTTTGTTTACAAAAGGTTCTATTGATGTTGATCTTGCCAATGTTTAGTAAAACATGGTTCTCAAACATGTTCTCGTTCTCAAGATGTTATAACTTGATATATGTCCGGACCTCGCCGCCATGGTCCTTTCGTCCTTCGGATCTTGTACGCCGTTTTGGTCGATCCATCGCCTCAGGGGATCCTTCGTCTCGTCTTCCGGCCAGGCGGTGTAGGCGGTCCAAATACAGCCTCGCGGTGTAGGTCGTCCAGCATCCAGCCATCCAGCCGGACCTTTGTCCCAAGGGTCCCTAAAGACTGCGGCATTTGAAGGTAGCTCTTGGATTAAGGATGCAAACAGAACAGACTTGTCAAAAGGGAAGCCATATGTGTCCTGTCAATTCAGTTGCAAAAAGTCTCGTGCCCCTAGTTTGGCCAGCTTTTGTCATCTTTGTGACCACAAGGGAACCGAGCCTTTTCAGCATAGTGGGAAAGCGGGAAAATCGTTTGGTGGGTTTTTTGGACTCAAAACGAAGAGAGCCGGCACTGTTCTACCTGAAGCACTCCGGTCTCAAGCACTTGGATACAAATCCGCCTTCCCGTGTCGTATCCGTGTCTGTCCCGTGTCGCTCTCGTGGCCGGGCCGCTGCTTAAACTCTTGCCGCAACTGCTTGGGGTTGAAGCGCATCAGAAGCTCACCTGGGCACCAAGATCGAATCTCCCAACCACACCCACCAGGCAAAATGCAAGCAGGCGAAGCCGTGTGGTTTTGGCATCTCCAGCCCATGATGTGCCTGGATGGGCACCAGCCTGATCACACCCTGAAACCTGCAAAAAGAAGTTTAAACTACAGTAGAAATGCAGGTAACTGCAGACCTTTCTTCTTGACATAGACTTAACATAAACACGTAACACATGTTTGAAGGCACAAATCAAACAGTCACACGCTCTGTAGCAGCCTCTGTGACAAGACCTTTCTGCTTGCCCCCCCGGTTCCGCCAGAAAATTCATCCGAAGTACTTCATTAATCATCATAAATCTGGTGTGAGTATACATACACACCCCGATTCGCCATGCAACACGCTGAATGTAAAAGCATGGCTGAACAGCTGCACGGCATCGCTCTTCTTTCCACACGTTGTCCGGCCAGCGATCCCACCACAAACTCCATGGCCGAGACGTCATGCTGCACTTTGGGACGCAGCCAGGCTGCGTCCTCCATCAGAGTGAGCCTGCTCCAGCGGCCCAGCTCGAGCCGAAGCTGTCCATGGAAGAGTTCACTACGGACCTGGCGCAAAACCAAGGTACTCCCTGGCTCCAGGCGAGCTTGCTGAGTTGGTAAGCGCAAGAGGACCGTGCCGGTCTCATCCCCCACGGTGGCACAGGTGCATTGGAGTCCACTGAGGCAATGTAAACGAGCATCGCAGCCAAGGACCTTCACAATTAGGTCAACGTTCAAGGAATTCGGCGTCAGCTCAGCCACTTTGATGAAATTTGGCATTTTGGCAAAGGCTTGAAACCCAGGTCTTGCTGTGAAGAGTAGTGTGAGTGCCACAAATGTTTAACTACCATGTTTGGAATGACCTAGTGAAGTGATATGTTCTTGACCCGGCTCAAGGGCCTCTGCTTGCGACCTTTGTCAGCTGGCTTCTTCCCATTGATACTGAGTTTGTGGCTGTTCGAGAGGAAGCCGATGTAGAGTCAATGTAGCAGTCATGAGGAACGTACTTGTATAGCCATATATTGAGCACAATCAAGCATGCTGATGTTCAAAGTGGAAGCTATCTTCACTTTGTATACTGCTTACGTGCTTCAGCTTGAGCCAACATAGACCACATTTGAGCGAGTCACCCGACCTCGAGTAGGATCAGGAACAAAAAAAGAACAGCTATTCCAATACTAAACAGCAAGTTGCAGCCCCGCCACTCACATACTCACATGCATAAAGCTTGAACTATAGTGTTTCAACGTCTTCTACGTGACTATTTTCAGCAACATTGAACATCAAAACACACCTGATCGTTCCTGAATGCCAAAATTCATCCGCGAAGCAAGGGCAATTTCAAACACTAAATCAAACACCAAGCAAATGGACCGCTCTCTGGTATCATATGGGTGCCACAGGGTCCATACTATATTATACTGTGGTGTATTTCAGTCATGGCTCCAAACAGGGAACCGAGGGGTGCATTTTCCATGTCCGTCCTTCTTGGTTTCCCAAGTCTGAATCGTCTGAATCCATGCACACACGCAAACATGAGTAAGTGTTTTGCGTTAATCTTTAATATTCCAATTTTCCCGTCAGATTCCATAAACATCTCCAAAAAACTTCCAACATCCCACAACAAGTCATCTCCAGGCTTCGGCAGATCCTGATAGGTTGGAGGCCATCGCTATTAGGTTGGAGGCCATTGCTATTCATCTCTTCCATTGCTCTCTCTCTACCACGCCAGAGCCAGTGCCAGGATCTCCGGCAAATCCGGAAGCCATCGGGGGCCACGGTGGCGGCGGCGCTCATGGCGGAGTCCACGGCAGCCTGGAGACCGTGGGCAGTGACGGAGAACACAAAACAGGTGAAGGATGGTGAAGGTGAAAACATTGCCATGGTAGAGTAGGTGAAGCTTAGCAAAAAGAAGTTACTAGGCTGGCATCGCTAGTAGGTTGGAGGATGTTGGAGGCCATTACTACTAGTAGCAAGAAGCTACCAGTAACAGGGGCACAAAACCAGATGTCACGGTCAAACTCGCAGGAGTTCCACCCGATAGACAGCTTTTGTGACATGGCCGCCAGGGCCAGTCCTCGTCCTTGAACATAAGCAAATCAAATCCCGCACAGTTTATTATATATGCCCTAGGATTCCCACGTACATGGTTTTAATGGCTCTTGCCATGATGAGGGAGGTTAGTGAGACCTATATTTGGACTGCCAATCTGGGTGATTTCGTTGGATTTTGTTGGTGAACACCCGTGACTCAGAGATGAAAAGGATCGTCCGGATCGTCCCAGTGAACAGCTTTGCTGTAGTTTTTGCCACAAAACCCCACATAGGAACAGTTGCTAAATGTTGCAACAGATTTGTGACCAAAGTGCTCGAGGGGCCCATTTTTAACGCATGCAGAGGGCAAAGGCATCGAATTCATCTGCTGCGGGATTTTGAGGGCCAATGAGGTCGAGTTTTTCACTGGTATCTTCATGATCTGGTGCATCACCGGGGAAATGCCAGGAGCAAGGACGCTACTAGTAGCTCCTGGCATTGCTACTAGTAACAAGGGCATTAGACGATTTCCTTCTTCGGATTTCGGACGACTGCCGCCTGCGTCTGCGTGCCTCAGGGAACGGGCTGAATCGAACATGCAGCGGAACGTGAATCGAACGAGAATCGAACGAGTACCAAAGAGTTTGGCTTGGTATGTATGGGTTGTAATAGAACATGCATATCATTCAGTGTACAATACAAACCCCTTTCTAGCACGGATGATGAAATGGTTCGCTGAGGAAAATATCCTGTCTCCCCTTGCTTCTGGACCATTGTGTGATGCTTCGTAGACCCTGAAATGGCGTTTTGTTGCAGTCCCATTTTGAAGCCATCACCGCCTTCAGAAGTGACCGCTTCTATCACCGATCGCCTTCGAATGGGCGAAGTCGATCTCGACATCCGAGGTGTTGGACCACGATCGGCAGCTGGGGAGGCTCCGACTTCGGGGCCAAGACAGAATGGCCTGTGCTCTCGTGCACTTCCATGATTGTTTCAGGGAGTGCAAACCACAAACCATGTATCGTGCTTCTCTCGGCAGTCCAAAGCTTGAAAACTGAAGGAGTTTCTGCTTGAACGAGTGAATTCCGCCAAAGTGTATAGGCCCTGCACTGAAGAACATACAGGCCACATCAGGTCACTAGCCACGCCTGTGAACTTTGCAGAACTCTAGGTTTCATGGTAATTGGGTCTTGGATGGTCTTTGTGCAGCAGCATCCCCTGTCTAAAGCACCTGAAATGTATATCTTTACCAATGGAGAAAAACACGTATAGGCACTAGTAAGCACTGGGCCAACACTTTCAGGAACATCGGAACCAAGTCATCGTGACATACTCCGACCCTCCACTGACAGAGTCCAATCGATCCAAGGAACCTTGACCAGCCTCCTATCTCGCGCGATGGTCCACGGTCCAGGAAGGTTCCAAATAGAATGGTGGCATTGTCTTTTTCAACTCAGGAACGTGTCAAAGGCAGAGGCAAAGCCAACGGCATGGGGACCTTATTTATTCTGAGTGTATCAAATAAGGAGATCCCACTCAAAAACAAAGAATAAACACACAATTGAAGAATATATGTGATGCTCTTGCATTCTTGGACTGGTCTGGGTGGGAAACAAGATGAAGCTATATATAGACTCCAGCAGCAGGAAACTTGCCATCACTTTGCAAGAACTGATGAATCAAACACTCATTCAACAAAAACTGAGCAGCATACATGGAAGTTGAGTTGACCCGCAATGTCAGCTAAATAATTTGATGGACTTCAGCACGTTTCCCATGGACGTGGTTTTCGTCTCTTCACTGTCCAGCGGTGTCGGGCCCCCGTCCCCGTGGTGACAAACTCTGGAAAAGAGGCTCAAGAAGCAGCAGTGGATTGGGAGAAATACCAAGAACGACGAAGAACACAGAATAAGATGTATAAATAGTGATTTATATTTCAATTCAGAATTAAACGTTCCATATCGTTCCATCACAGGTACATGGACCCGAATGGAGCTTTTTGTCTGCATCTCAGCGATGTTCATTGAGCTTGTTTGATTCTCTGAGGTTGGCTTGTCCAGCAGTGGCATCCAATGTCCGTATTGAGCAACAGGCTACCGCACAGCGGTCTGGCTGTACTTACAAGAAATCAATTCACTCCAACCAGCTGGTGGACAAAAGAACTCTGCACCACCTGAAGCCCCCAAAACATACATCCAAATGGTCCATCTATGTCCAAATACCAAGTCTTTTTGGCACTTGCAGGTTAATCTGCTGTCTTTGATGGTCTTCCTCCATCCCGGAATCGGCAAACGAAAACCGGTGGGCGCCAGCTCTCATCTCCTCGCAGGCCTTCCGGGCCAAATTGTGGAGCTTTTGCGCCTCCTAGCGGCTGCAGGCTGGTCCCGGCGCGGCCAAGGGTTGGACACTGAACACAGCAACGGGTCGGAGGGCACCATCCGAACGGTCGGAGACCGGACGATTCCGATTCCGCACCGAAGGACCAACGGCCTCGGGCGAAGCTGATGGTGTACTCCACAAACGACAAGCTGATTCCGGAAAGGACCCAAAACCGAACGAAGGCAACAGCGACCAAGCGGCAAAGATCTGCTCTCTACACAAAGCGTCAAGCGACACCCTCTCCAGGCTCTCATCGGCCACTGCTACCATGAGGACCCAAAAGAAGACCTGCAACGTCAGAAAGTCAACCTCCCCAACCTGCGTGGCGACAGGAACGAGAATTGTTGGGAATGTTTTCGGATGTTTTTGGGGTTGCTTCAAGCACGACTGAGTCTATTTGTGCGAGAATCAATCCTCAACAAAAGATCACTGGGCATCCTTCTGGAGATCAACCGCATAGGAACGGCGTGGTTTGGCATTGGTCTGAACGATGTTTTGACCTTACACAAACCGACAGCAAATCAAGGATGGTCTTCCGTTTTCCACCGGGTGGAAGGCGCAGTCAACAAGTCATGCTTGCGTTCAATACCTCATCTTACCCAGATCTCAAAGGCAGCATGCAGCATCTTGGTTCCTTATTCCTTTTCCTAGGGAAGCAAAAGGTATCATTCACAAGTCCGCTCAAGATCGGGTACAAATTGATCAACTCTGGAGCTTTGCGAGTCTGGGATGGCTCGTTTGACCTGCGCCGGGTCAAACTGCACCCGTTCCAGGCGACCCACAGAAAACCGCTCTAGTGGCGATGGTGGCACCCGTCTTAGATGACTCCATGTCTCATGTGTCTGCCATGTATAGTACTAGATTGCAAGTATAATGTTTTGCAGTGTATTCATCGTTATCCACGTGTTTTGTTTCTCTCTCTCTCTCTATTTCTCTCTCCCGGCTCCCGGTTTCATAGGACTCGCAACTGATGTTCCATCTATCTTTACTAGTCACTAGTCTTTACTTCAATGAACATCTCAGTTTCGAGCAAATGTTGAATGTTCCAAGTACTGACAGAACATGTTCGTGGTTGCTGCTGCATTGTCATCATCAAAATAGGGCCTCTAGTTGATTTAACTCATTGCATGTTACACATGTTATTTTTAGAGAGCGGGGGACTGTGAGAGTGCAGTTTGTTTAATTGTTTTTTTTGTTAAAGGTGTTTGGTATCATTTGATGCTCAAGATATGCAAAGACGCTTGTTTTCACTCCAGGGCAGAAGATACCACTCTACTCTAACATGGGGCCTGGGTTTTGGTTTTCCCAAAATGTTAGGTAAATGCTTCAGTGGTAGCCCCTCTCCATATAAACACATATATAATCTGTTCCTGCTCTCTCTATATGAACAAATATATTATGTATTCCTGAATCAGGGTCATTTTGTTGTTTTGGAAGCAGCAAGCAGTCATTCAGATGGTTTTGAACAAAATAATTAGGAACTAAGCAGGCCATAAAAGTGTCTCTAGATATCTGTTTATAGTTATGTTTAGATTTGGAAATATTTGATATAGACGCGCTTATGTTACACAAGATTCTCTATAGATCTCTGCAAATAATCCTTTTTAGATTTAGACAACTATATAGAAACGTTGTATGTTAAAAGCTTTATTCTAGATTTCTGCGGGTAAGAGCTTGCATGTTCAAAGTTTTCCTCTGGATCTTTGGGAAAGTAGATATACCATATGGGTGTTTTCATGAAATGAAAGCTCTTGAAAGAATACCATATTTATTTATATATAGCATGTTTAAATTGACATGATCATTTCCAGAGATCCAGAGGAAAGCTTTTGAAATGAAAGCTTTTATATATTTTTATTGTAGAAATGATCATCCACAGAGATCTAGAGGGAAGCTCTTGAATTAGAAGCTTGTACATAAAACAAATTTAATATGTCTATATTGTTTCCAGTGATTATTGTAAATAAAAAATCTACTATTTACTTCAAAAAGAGTTTTAGTCTTGTTCCCAGCACTCCCAGGGCAAAAAAATACTGTAAAACATGGGGTTTTGTAGCATGTGTTTTCTTAAACTAAATAGACTAGAGCTAGAATAGAATTAGGTAGAATTAAATCGGATTTGAGTTAGAGCTAAGATAGAACTGAATTAACACCGAATGTCAACTCAACTTGCATTGAACTATAACTATAACCTATTTAAAATTAGATGAGAGTTGAATTAGAAAGGAATTGGACTTAAAATTAGAAGTTCGCCAGAATAAGATGTAAAATGCTTGAGCTACAAGATGCACAAGTCGAGGAGGCTTCGAAATTACAAAGCCGAAGCAAAAGCAACAAGCATTGAATTAGAACTACAGCTTACACAGATTCATGTAAATTGGAAGGTATCATTACAGTTTCATGTCAAGCTGATTGGACATGCAATTGGCAACCACATTGATACCAATCAGAAGTTAATGCACAGACTTGTACATGGAGATTTCGACAAGGACAAAGGGAGTGGTGGGCTCAAACGCTTTCATTGTAAGAGCAAAGAACATATGCCTTTAGGTGAGACTTAGGCTCACATACTTGCAGGTTGAACGAACACAGATTGACCTAAATAGGAAAACCAAAAAAACAAAAAACCTTGAGGAAACCAATAACAACCTAGGAAAAGCCAAAAAACCTTGGGACAACCAAAAAAACAAAAGAACCAAAAAAAAAACAACTCTGGGGAAGTCTTGAGGAAGGGGGGGGTTCAGCCAAGAGTCTCTGAGATTCTTTTTTGGTTCTTTTGTTTTTGTTGTTTTCTCAAGGTTTTTTGGCTTTTCTTAGGTTGTTATTGGTTTTCTCTATATTTTCTCGAGACTGTTTGTGTTTGTTTTCCAGTGCAAAGGACATTGAGGCAGCTTTCACAGACACATAGCATGAATGCAGGCCACAGTGGGAAGTTTATAGCACATAGATGGAAGTCGGCAGCAAAAACACATAAAATACGCACTCTGGTGGTCCCCTGTTTTGTATTTTTAATAGTACAGTTCCGCTAGAACTGAATACTGATTCTTTACTTTGGACAAAATACCTAATTGCGAAATACATTGCTGCGTTGCCAATGGAGAAGCATTCATGCAGGATTGCATCTTCTAAAATCTGTGTTTCGCCCACCTTTTAGCATGTAGCAAATTGTTCCCTGGTCATAGGTTGAGCCTGTTCTCATTCCGAGGTTGTTGTCCTCGGATATACTTCAGTCAAATGTGAACAAACAACAGCAAATAAACAATGTCAAATGCCATGGTTGCTTGTGCAATTCGCATGAAACGGCCCCAAGCCACCAACTATCATCAACTCATCAGACGAGATGTTGCCTCCTCACAACTACGACTCGGGGTTAGATTCTAGATGTTTGCATTGGCCAGTGTATATATGATATGTCTAGTACTGTTCATTTGCTGCTGGAGCAATTACATGTTTTTGTTAATCCAAGGAAATGTGACACGCGTATTTTGATGAGTTTTTGCGAGATTTTTAATTGTTGGTGATAACCGTCTTCATAATATGAAACATATTGAAACATTCAGAGTCAGCGTGGCACCAGGGCCAAAACCAACATTTGAATGTGAGCAGAATCTTCAAGAATGTGCCCAATCGCCGAAGGGTGCCGCCATCCTCTTTCAAACTAAAAGTGCACCGCCGTCCCCTGTTGGGACTGGTCCGCAGTCAGAGAACTGGACTTTCAGTCGACGCAAGATGCGTTTTGATGAATGGTCCATCACTTCAGAATGCCCTTTCTAGGCAGCCAGGTCCCATGAAACAGGGATCATCAATCACCAGGACGCATGCATGATGCGATACTGGTCTGGTTCACGCGATTATGTCCTTCTCAAGCAACATCTCCCAAAGGGACCCATGGCCTGGAAAGCAAACGGCAAACGGCACAGGGAAAAACAAACATGATATGATGATCTAGAGATATCGGCGATATCGGGATATATTTAACAAACTTATCATATCGGGCTTTCATATCATATCATATCATATCTGAAAAGTGTCTTTAAACAAATGATATATGATATATATATATATGATAATCGATATGATGATTTTGTCCCTCAGACTGTCAGAGTGCTTTAATAGCTACGGTTGAAGTATATATGCTACAAACCAGGTGATGTAGCCCTCGGGAGTGGATAAAGCATGATGGAGTCGCGGTCGGGCGCGTCGAGTTCTCGATCGGGAAATCACACCTACAGGGCGTTCAAACAATACTCACTGCAAGCCTTCCCTGCACTTCACTTGAGCAGTGCATGTCCCAGTGGGGCATCTTGGAGTGTTGTGTGCACAAGCCTTGCAAGCGCAGGCTTTATGCAAGTCAAACCCCCAAGACACCTGGGTGCCACTCCCGCGACCGAACACCTGGACCAAGCGGAGGGAGGCGAGCGAGGCACGCTCTGAGGCGTCCCACGACTTTGCACAAAGGCCTCTGCACGTTGCCTGGCCTGGCAGAGTCGTCGTTGGTCCGACAAGCCATGTACAATCAAGTCCGTGATCAGTTGTAGGATACCCGGTAGATTCATGATTTTTTCTTGATGTTGTGTTTTTTAATGCGGCATACGCGTCATCCGACGCGAGAATGTGTTGTTCACAATTTTTCGGGAAAATCAATGTGGTTTGCTCCAGGAATTGTGTATGGCATCAGTGTTTTTTTTCCAACCATCTGAAGCAACATCTATTGCTACCTAAGCCGATAACTTGTTGCGTGCGAACGCCTTCACCATGAATTATTTATGCTGAAAATAAGATGTGTTGAAACGTTCGACTCCAGCTCCACGAGTCCAAGTTATATATATATATATTATGCACTATCAAGCAAGTCAGTTATGTACCAAACAACCCTTGTTCGCAAAGGTTCATCGTCTGAATGCATGGGGTAAGACCAACCAACATATGATCAACTCCGGACATGCGGAGGATTCAGCACTCACCAAGCGCAAAATGGCCCAAATCTTGTGGCAACTGCAAAAACAAAACGATTTCCCTACTTGCGCATACATGGGTATAGATTCGTTTGAAGGACTCTTGGGATTGGCTTAACGCCTACACCAGGGAGTTGTCATCAGTGTTGTTCCTTTTGTCTCCGAAGTGGTTCAAATGAGTCACATGATGATGTGTTGAAACATCAAACATGTTCAAACATCAAACAAGAATCTTGTTGCACAAGAATCTTCTTGCAACTTCAATCAAGTTCACGTGCGTCATTTCACTGTCGGAACTTGGAGTCAGGGTAGCCGGGTAGCCTGTTCCATTCCGACTTTGTCATTTGATCGCAGTTCGACGATGCAATCAACCGCTTGCCCCAAGACGACCTAGGACCTGTCCCGCAACATTGATTTTCGGGATACTCTCAGCAGTCCAAAAGCACTTCACATGATATCAACTACCCAAACAGCCGCGTGCAACGGCTTTAGCTACTCGTTTCCACAAACTGTATGAACTATAGTATGGTGGCCTGCTGTTAAGTTACGTAATTCTGTGTGACGAACCCAGTCTGAGTTGGCCAAATTACTTATTAGACACTATGCAAGTGGTCCCTTCTCCCTACTTGTACGGGTGCACTTCTCTGTTGTTATTACACCACAAAGGTTTCTCTCCCTCCACCATCACAACGCCTCTTTGCCCTTCTCTCTTCTCCAGGACTTCTCCGTCATCAAGCGCTCGACCTTGACGGCTCAGCCAACACTTCCAGGCCTTTTGATGCACAAACACTGAATCCCTTGAACATCCTTGAACAATGTAGGTGCTCATCAAACTGGGTGTATAGATGGGTGTCAATTTATTTTGCCCTTTTACTGGCAGCTTGTGCCAGTGTGTTCTCTTTTTTTTCTCTCTCTCTCTCTCTCTATCTCTCTCCCCCTCCCTCTCAATTTTGAGACACAAACACACATTTGATGAACTTGCAGCCCATTGCGGCACCACCGGTCATTCAGTCAGTCGGTCGACCGGCACACGCGCCTCACACGCAGCCTGCGGCTCTGCGCTCCCGACGCGGCTCGGCTCTGGGCTTCCAGACACGGGAGGTAAAGCCTGCAGCCTCCTGGGGAGTGGCAATGTAGAGGTGCGTCTGTGCCTAGGCCATGGAGGGTGCGTCTGTGCGCGGGTGTTATTTTTTGCAAACGGGCCATGGGGGTTATACCTTGACAGAGATTTTGTGACAAGAAAACAGGTATCAATAAGACCACCTTCCATCCAGGATTTACTAGCGAACTGCAAGCTTTTCTGGACCTGTGAAGGACTTTGAATAAGTGGTGAAATAGATTGAGAACCCTGAGGACAAGCCACAAGCACCGAATGCATGTGGGAAATTGCTATGTCACTTGGGTGTGTCCTATTTCTGAGAAGAGTGGATGATGATGGCTTGTCAGTACCTCATAACTTTAAACTGTATACATAAATTGATCAACTGTTGAGGAAACATTCATGATCACAACTGTGCCAGCTTAAAAGCGAACCAGGTGGACCCGCCAAAAAGACTCCTCAAGACATGTCGAGAAATCTCCTAGAAAGTGGAAAACATACAGTTGGCATACACACAGGCTGTCTTCAGTTGGCAGACCGCCCAGAAAAAAAGTAGAAAAAAAAGTAGAACAAGTACAAAGGTATCCTCCCAAAAAAATGTCATCTGGTTCTGCGGACTGATATGCCAACTACATGTTTCGAATTTAGGGAGGAAATCGAATGTCTGGCAGCACAAAATGCACAGCCAACTATCAACTATTTGGTATTTTGTTTGTTTTCCGCCATGAATCATCCTGACCGGGTGCGTCCGGTCCTCTTTGGACCCTTTTCGCAGCCTCTTTTTCTGTGATTTCATGGGTTATATATGAAGCTATCACCAACGGAATTACCAGGAAGGGCCATCTGATCTGACCATGTTGTTCTTTCCGCTCTTTGCAACACACGGTAGATAGTGCGGTTTCGAAGCCACGGAACCGGCAGCCGGTTCGGCTTCAACGGGTCGTTTTGCTTCGGTGGCGGCAGCTGGCATCGGTTTGGGGAGAGCAGCGTGCGTCAGCAGGCAGATGCAGAGTATTGATTGATACTTACCCACCATTTGGATTGTAAAACCCCTGAGTTTGCAAGAACGTTTTTTTCAAGAGTTTGCAATCTTTCTCCCCAACACTAGCTGGTCAGCCGGCATGCCATGCAAATGTGCAAGCCCGTCAAAGGCAAAACTGAACCTTGGGATATTATTTGATGCACCAGAAACCAGAAATTCAGATTCTCCCTCCCTCCCAGGTGTAAGATTGCAGGCAGAAACCCTCCGATGCTTAGCACCGCTTAGCACACTCGTCACAGATTCAACGAAAGTAGGTCTTATATAATTATCCAGCAGTACGGCATAAGTACCTGCAGAAGCCTCCAGGTCCTTGGTTTGGTTAAAAGTATAAACATATGTCTCTGGTATAGCCAGCATGTTGGCCAATTGTCTCAAATGCACAAGCAACTATGCAAATATTTGCAGACCATATCTCAAGGCTCCCTCATTTTGCAGCATTTTGCCTAAGCCTTTCACCCTCAATCACCCTCAGTTTTCCGTGCCACTGATCTCAGAACTAAAGTTCAATACTAGCTGTGAACTCCAAGGTGAAGTGAGATGCATTTCTGCAGAATGTTGATAGCAAACATGCTACAATCGTAATTTCCTCTTCAATTGCATAAGGAATATCGTCCTTGCTCTGGAACAAAACCTTAGCATGAATGGACTAAATTGCATAATTGCATATATTGCAATGCATCGAGATACTGATGTGAGTCATGTGAGTCATGTACATTGCATGAGCTGACCACATCACCTGTCGACTCGAGCGGCCACCTGAAAACGGGTCATGGGTCCCGTGGACATGGTCGATCGAGCAGCCCAACTCCATGGCATACCTACACAAACCCGGTGCAGTACGTACATAATAATACTGTTGCGATGGATGATGATGGATGTGTTTGCAAGGCCACGGAAAGCCCTCTCTGGTAATGCTAAATTGACCTCCCTCGTAGTTCATTCAGTTCGGAGAGTCAACTTCGGTGTTGGGATGTCATTGGCCCCCTTTTCGCGCTTCTGTGTTGGCTTCTGCTCGTGTTCTTTTTGGCTGCGCTCGTGTCTAGTTTTTGGCCCAAATAGCCACATCAACGACCCTCCTAGTAGAGAGACCCCAACCAAGGGGTTTTGGTCCAGGTATGTTTTGTTCTCTTTTCCTTCTTCCAGCGGGTCTTTGGGACGTCTCCCTATGTTAATACACACACACACACCCATATCAGACCCAAAGAAAAGGACATGTGCATGATTGGATGACAGGCCACGGAGGACAGGAGCATTCCATCCTCCATCGACGTTCCAACCTGCCCATCAGTGCTACCTGCCCATCAGTGCTACCCATCTCGCTGTGGTTCTGGCCAAGTTCCGCAAGAGCTCTTCCTCGGTGAACCTGGGCCTCGGTGCCATGAGAAGCATTGCGAAGCCACGTGAAGCAGGCATCGGTGCTGAGCTTTCTGGCATGTCACAAGTCCAAAAAGGCCAACCATGGCCAAGCAAAAAGTCTTCTGTGAACAAACTCAATGCTGAGGCTATGGGCCTTTTGAAAAACAACCATTGAATCACATCGGGCAAGAAGATGTGAAAACTCAGAGTCCCTGCTCCTGTCTCATTGGAGGCAAAGCTTCCTCTAACTCCTCAATGGTCTGCCCACGGTGTAGAGTCCGCATCCTCATGTCCTCAGCGAAGCCACGGACCACGGTCGGAACCAGGCGGATGGTCTGGAGAAAAAGGGGGGCCCTCGGTCGGTCTATGGTTAAACCGGTGCTTCAGTCGGAAATCTTTGAACCACTGGTTGCCAGCCAATTCAAAGTAAACAGAACTTGGTTTTCTGGAAAAAGACATCATAAGACCAGTGGGAACACTCTAAGACCGGTGTTTCGAGAAACGTCGAGACGGCGCCATCGGTCAGACCGGTTGTGAAGACGACAATCCAAACGCTCAAAAACGGCCTTGGAACAGACACCGTTCACGCCCTTGAGCTGATTGAAAGAAACACCTTCAAAAAAAGCGCTTCCGGTCGCCGGTGGTTTCAACTCCGAAACATGGCCAGACACATCGGTCCGAAGCCACCACCGCAGTGCTTGTGTTGGAGCCAAACACGAGCGTCCGCGTTCTGAAACCGTTCGAAACGCCCCCAGGCGTGGGGTGGACCGTTCGATGCGTGATGCGGTCGGTCCGGTCCTGGACTAGGGGCACCTTGGGGACGCGGAGATCTTCGCACATGTTGGCCTTGGGTCCGACGACGGACACCGGACACTGGTCGTCCAGACCGGTTTTCCGGTGAAACCGGAGATCTTCGACAGAGGCGGTTTAGTGACTCGAAGGTCTGAGAGTGTCTGGGGTGATACGCCTCGGCATGGGGACAAATCGAACGTATTCGAAAGTGCCTTGACAGAGAGGGCGCGCTCCGGGATCTAAATAGTTCCAAAAAAAACCATGGAGGCACTGTTTCGACAGCCAGATTTCCTTTTCTCTATGACCTACGATCCTCAAACGATTGGAGCTCAAAACCCAAACGGGTTTATGACCCATCCCCCCGAAAGGTACAGAACAATTCACTCGATCGACGTTTCCGCTGGCTGAACATTGATGCTTTGCAATTTACTAAAGTATATACAGTATTATTGTTAACTATTTCAGCCAACTGGCCCAAACACTCCAATATCCATGATGCTCTCCATGATGGTCCGTGTATTCATGGGACGACTCCGTGTCTTCAGGAGTCGGAACCGATCGTTCCAGGGGTTCCCCGTCCTCGTCCGTTCGGCGCGCCACGTCGGGTCCATCCGTGGCTCCCGAAGGATAGACACATAGTCACTCTGATTCAAGAAGAAAGAAACAGCGTACAACTATCATAAACGATGTTATTTGGACATCTCTTAAGTTACTGCCCCTAGTTTAGGAGTTTAGCACGCATCAACACATGACATCACATCACCACTCTAGAGATCTCGAGCTTGTAGTGAAGGCATGTTTCTTGAACATACCCATATGTTTTGCAAGACAAAATGCGACCAAACTAACGACAACGGACCATTCAATCACTCAACGGATCCATTCTTTCTCTGGCGAATCGCACCCCCCTGGCAGCCCGGTGAGACCGACGGACCTGGACGACTGCGCTTTGGACCTTGCGGACCCAAAAAGCACCGGGCCTCGCGCAGTCCATAGTGATCACTGCTGACCTGAGAGTCTGACTCTGCCAAGCTACGTGCTCAACAAATGGACAGAAAAACTGAGAGGAAACAGGGAATGGCAGGTAGTATAATAAGCAAAAAGGATCAAAAATAAGGCATTTCCAATGAGGGCTCAATTAACCTGGGCTTACGGAGGTCTACTTTATCTGGATGGTGGGGAAATGGAAATAAACACGCCACCAAACAGGTCTGGAAAAGAAACGTGCGTAACAGCAGGTTGAAACAAGAGGGAACGAACATGAACCAAACCTTGACCATGCTTGTGCACATCTAAGGCATCCTCCAAACCGGAAGCGGTGAAAACCGTCAAATCCTGTAGGCTGCCACGAAGAGGTGAAAACCGTCGGTGGTTTCTCCGTTTGCTCGTTCCCTTTGAGCACTTCAACGCATGGAGACGGAGCGGTGAGCTCGTCAGAATCGGGAGCACATGTGCACATGTCCGGTCCTAAACAACAAGAATTCCAAGCGTGGACCCAGTGGACCACTGTCACAGGCACCAACTGCGGCATCCCATGGTCTTGGGGGCATGGAGAAACATGCATGTGCCAAGGATGTATGTGCTGTATCAATCAGCTGTGGGAGACCACAGCATAAACATGCATAAACATGCATAAACTATCGTGATGTACACAGCACTGCATCAAACATGATATCCGTTTATTTGCAAGTTGACACGTTGGTTCAATTTTAAGTTAGGACACAAACACACCCACACACACAAAAAACAAAAACAAAGACAAACAAACAAACCAGCGATGTGATGTTGAAGTTGGATGCGCGATTGGATCCGTAATCTTCACTTTTCAAAAAAAGCTGCACTGGACATCACGCAAGTTCAATCGATCCTTCACTTTTAAAAGTGCGACTTGTGCAAACTTGTACATCAGTTCGGGTGTGAGTCAAAGCCCAATCCTATCTTGTTCACGGCTCCAACACGGTGTTCATCTGACTCTCCATAATTCGACCAGTTGTCTCTGAAAACGGGCTGCCTCTGTTTCAAACCTCGACCCTGTGGGTCATAGCATCAGACTGACCGCGCACGACTAGAAACTGGTTATTCTACGGGCCAAAGCCATGGGTTTTCACGACCCCCAAAGGATGTCCAAAGCTGTTCAGTCGAGCGAGAAAGGACGCTACGAACGGGGGCTGGCATCGTTCGGACCGATCGGACCGAGGATGCGCCGAGTGGCCACAGGAATGCCACGAAGCTGTGCTTCCATGGCTACTAAGCCAAAGGCCTGGAGTTTTTGGGTTTCTTCGAAGTGGTGTGAACTATGTGACCTGGTGAGGTCAAACTCTTGTTTTTGTTGCATGTACTCATCCTCTCTGCTGTTCTCTGCTGTTCTCTTTACAGTGGATCCTGTTCTTTTCCCCAAAGCATCCGTTTTGATGCCCTATGAAGAGGTTCACAATCCAAATGGTGGTGCATGGTGGTGTTATTAATCCATGTTCATCAGATTCCAACACTTCGTCTTCCAACCCTCCATTCCAACCCTCCCGGCGAACCCTGTCCCATGTCCCATTTTGTCAAACACACGGAAAACCGGCGGTTCAACCCGGTCGCTGAGGCAACAGACCAGCCCGCCGATGGAGGCAACGACGACGGCGGTCGCTTTCACCGAAGCGTGGGGTCAGTTTGGTCTGGAGGTCTGATGAGGTCTGCTCATTTGATGAGCTAGTGACTAGTGATTCAAGATATTCAGTGCATTCAGTGGGTCTGCCATTCAAGCAAAACGGTTGTTGCCAAAGATTCCATTGCGGCATGAATGAATACACTTCATACATTCAGCCAGTTTTGTTACCTAAAGCATCCTAGAACTAATATACAATCCCCAAGCAGGATATAATGGTTCTATCGAACAACAACATGTCTCCTTGCATCCTAAGAATATCAAACATACTTGACGTGTGAAAATTCTATAGTTTGCTTTGACAAGGATTTGGAACCGAAGCCGCACTCCCGGCGACATTAGTGGAACAAAGGCTACGAATCGAACCTCTGACAGTGACCACTGTCCCACAAGTGTCCAGCCTCCGACCAAAGAGATGGCACCAACAAAACCGCGGTTCGCGCATAGACATCTTCCTGAGGGCCGACAATCCCAGTTGAGGCTTGGTAGCAGCTGACTGTATAGATCTGCTTCAGTCTGGTGTGTCACCCTTGCCCTTGTCTGCCAAATTAATTGAACAAATGGTCTACACCAGGTTCTGCTGCCATCTGTTGTCTAATTTCCCTATGTTCGAGCGATGTTTGTTTGGACAATCAGAACTGTTGGAATCCAAAGCACATCAAGAGTGTTGTAGCTAGAAAGTAACCTCAATTGCTGGGCACCTTGTGGAGGCTGGGCACCTTGTGGAGATCGTGGGACAAACAAAAACTCCTCATGACATAGACCATGTGACCATGTCTTTTTGAACCCAGGCATCGAGTGCAGTCAGCTTGGCCTACAGGGTGTAGGCGAGAACTAAGCGCGCCTATAGCAAAGCGTTTGAAATAAGCATGGCTCAACATGACCAACATCAGTCTGACGGACCTTTGCTTTCCTCGTGACAAGTGAGAAACCCTTGGGGTGTCTTGCGGAGACGTCACGTTTGGGACAGAACGGTGAGGTCGAAGTGGACCATCCTGCATCCTGTCAGCCTAACCATTTCTTAGACAACCACGTTTCAAGGATTGATTGTCTCCCAGCACATGCAACAGTACTTGTGCACCAAAAAAAGGAACTCATCTTCACCCTCTTCTCACTCACTTGGCTAGACTCAGAACTAGGTACCACCGCCCTACCTCCCTCCGAAGATCGCTGAATGTATCAGTTTCCTTTCCTGCTCGAACAGCGCAACAGCTTCAAGTTCGATCAGCGCAAAAACTTGTATTTCGCTGGTACTTTCACATTTTTGCACCCCTTCTCTGGTCCCACCTACGTAGTGAGCTCCCGGTACTCCCCAGATTGACATGGAACCCCCAAAACCAAAACCACTGGTGACACGGTGAGGTAGAGGAAAACCAGCTTCCATGTGAGTTTTCGGGAGTGGTGGAAACCCATCTCCTTCGAAAAATGCTCCGTCTTCTCCGTCTTCTCCTTCACCGCCTTCAAACCGTCTGGGACCTCCGGACAACGACATGGTGACCCTCCATGATCTCGACGTTGGCCACGTCCCGTAGGGCCGTCAAATGGATGGACTGCGGTGCGGTCTGAAGCCGACGGGACGAAGAGCCACCAGGTGTGGAAGGTTCGGGTGTCCGGCGTGCATTAACAGGGGTTATCCATGGATTGTATTCCATTTGGGTATGGAATATATGATTGTATGCATAAAATAGATACAAAGACGTGCGGACACCTACGTGTGAATTCGCCTGGTCCAGCCTATAGTGCATGATATTCAGTTACAGTTGAGTCTTCAGAGGGTCCCTGGACCTGACCTCATTCAGCAGCTGTCTCGTTCTGCTCAGTGTGCTCGCTATGGCACTGGTATGTACCAGTCATCCCTCTACCTTTAAGAAATCTGGTAGACGATGATACGGCCCAATCAAGTCCCGAGTGTGTTTTTTATTTTTCCAACTGACCATGTGAATGTGTTCTCATTGGGCAGCTATGTGTCTAAGCAGCCTCTTACTGTAGCCCTTTTATGATGCAAGAATTTCACAGATCCTACAAGTCAAATAATTTTGACGCACCACCTTGGGAATCTATTGCCAATCCTCACAGGGTCAATAAACATGCCAGTACATCTCAAAACTCAGGTGCACACCAAAAAGGGAATTGCGCTGCCCGACCATTCCTCATCTGAAATATGATTTCTGGCTGCCGTTGAACAACCAACAAAGTCAATTATGATCTATCCTGGGTGTGTCTCATTGCTAACAATGGATGACGATGTTTAAGACAGTGACAGGCCTTTCTTAAAAGTAATTATAACTATGTGATAATCGTTTACCGACTGCTGGCAATGGGCTAGACTGGCTACACCCTAGATCTGATACTCAGGGCTCTATCCCTTCTCACCATGCCAACCCGCCCCAAACACCTGCCCCCCACCGCTTTTCACCCGCCCCATGCGGCACACCAAGCTCCGCGGCCGGTCGAGACCCCCATCCGCCTTGGTCCACTGCGTCGGCACGGCCAAGAAGTGCAGCGAGGGCAGGCTCTTGGCCACGCGTAGGAAAATGCAAAGGCCTTATCGGAGGATTGGTTCATCGAAGGGCAGCGGTTCCCGGCGAGATACCGGGCGGAACTTGGAGGGAAGCGGCCTTGGACGGGGGGCAGCCGGTGAGTGGAAGAGGGTTAGGGTTTAGCGGGGGGAATTTGAAGTGGTTGGCCGAGGTGATTTGGTGGTGTCCCAACTGTTGGTATGCTCAAAAGCCAGCTTACTCACTTACCCCAATCTGGATGTGAGCGTTGATTTTCATGACATATGTAATGAAATGTATTGAAGAAGTTGAGATGCTGCTTTGCATATCCATGTCTGAGTTATATTATTACAATACTGTATATACTGTGAAACCTTGTTCATTTCCTTGAATCTAAAGTTCTTCAGCGGTGCCAACAATGACCCGTCAAAAGTCAAGGCTTAAAACAAAACGCTTCGTTTGTTTCAGCCCTGCGCCCAGCGCCCAGCTTCCCGCCTTTGGCCGGACAAGGACTGATGAAGGTCACACAGCGGCCTCAGGTCGCTTGGGCGCATCGAGCAGTATTAGAAACAATGTTCGCTACTAGGAACAAGTGCATCGCTTCTAGTAACAAGTGCCTTACTAGTAGTAACAAGAAGCTAGTAGGAACAAGTGCATCGCTTCGAGTAACAAGTGCCTTACTAGTAGTA